TTTGGGCTCTTTGTTGTTTTCCTCGACCTGCTCCTAAACAGGGACCACGGTCGGAGGTGGGCAGTGGGTGTCAGACTCACATCCTAATGACACAAGAAGTTTCCCAGCAGAACATTGCATTATATGTTATTTACTCCACATTTTAATGTTGTGGCTGATTGTTGTGTATGTCGATGGCAAATGGTTTGCACTTATACGAGGTGTGTCAGAAAAGTTGTCGGACTGGGATCACAAATGATATATTTCAAATAAAAATGACAAGTTTCCCCCTTCAAAGTAATCCCCCTGGAGTCTAACACACTTCCCAGCCTTCTCTGCCACCATGAACTCCTGGAAGGATTCTTCTGCAGCTCTGTCATCACAGCCATCTTGATGTCGTCCACGTCTTCTAAACGGGTCCCCTTGATGACCCCCTTGAGCTTGGAGAAGAGGAAACAATCCCACGGAGCCAGGTGGGGTGAGTAGGGAGGTTGCTCCATCACGGAGATGTTCTTCTCAGCCAGGAACTGTGGGATGCTCAGGGCGTTGTGAGTAAGGGCGTTGTCATGGTGAAGCAGCCACGACTTGTCCTGCCACAACTCTCACCTCTTCTGAACGAAGCAAACGCTGCAGGATCTCTTTGTGCTGGTTGATCGTCTGAAGGGGAAAACTGGTCATTTGTAGTTTGAAATATATCTTTGGTGACACCAGTCCTGGAACTTTCCTGACACACCTCGTATACAGTGCATTTCCACTTCGTAGTACTCAAAGCGCTTTTCAATGTGTTTCTCATTCCCACACATATTTATACACCAGTGGTGACAGAGGTCGGGGTGCCTGCCTGCCATTGGGAGCAACTCTGGGTTCAGTGTCTTGCCCAAGTTGGACACTTTGACTGTAGAGCGTTGGGGGATCGAACCGCTCACCTTGCGACGAGACATCCTGCTTGTCCTTGTATCTATATGTCATAGATATCAACTAACTAACTGTTTTGTAATTGAACAATGTACGCTGGTATAAAAGAGAGAGAAATCAAGAAAGAGAAATCCGTGTGCATTATTGACTGAAAAATTCCTCTCTGCCTGGGTTCAGAAAAAATAGCTGAAACAACCTTGACGCTGCATCGGAAACAATACAAATCAATACAATGACATTTCCAGACTCCCCATAGGATGAAAAAAAAACAGTTAAAACACGCCGTCTCTTGTGATTAATTCAAAGGAAACGTGTAAATTATCATATTGCAAATCCTACTGTGACAGACATTTTCTCTTGAATTAAGAAAAAAATAAGACTTTAAGACTAAATGTCACATTTAATGACTTCCCTTCTTCTTTCCATCCTTAGCGCTAAGCACTCACTAGTTTTTCTGTACAGTGTTTTCCAGAGATCACCTGTCAATCAAACAGTGTGAGCGCTGCTTCCACTGTGTGCTCGGTTTTTTTTTCTTCTCAGAATTTTCTCTTGTATTTTGTTCAGCTGCACTGAATTGTTATTTCAAGCAAGGTGATGTTTGGGGTGTTTTGAACCAGTATTGAGTTTGACATATCAGAAGGAGTAATGGAAAAATATCTAGTGGTACCCAGACCGGAGTGGTTTTTAGGACCGTTCTGTCTGTTACTCTGTCCCGGTCTGGGCGGGGCTCCGCTGGCCCCGGGCCCCGGACTATCAGTCAGGCTGATGTATAGGTCCACAGGGTACAAATGAAACCTGTCACAACAAGGGTAATGATGTCAGAGTCACTATAGCTCACCGCTGGAGGAGCAGAGGGAGGGAGATGAGGGGATAGGAGGATGTGGGGAGGAGAAGAGGGTTGAGTGGAGAGAATGGTAAGGAGGGAGAGGAGAGGTGGAAAGTGTGCAAAGTGTGGAGGGAGGACAGACGCTTTACGACGAAGAGCAGGGAGGAGGGGGAGAAAAAGTGGAAAATAGAAGCAGGAAAGAATTAGCACAAGGAATGTGAACGGGTGGAGAGAGAGAAGTGTGAACATGTAAGGAGATGTGGACAAAACAAGGAACAGAAGGACATGTAGAAGGAGTTTGTGGAAGAGGAGACGTCAACAAGGAAGAGGGAAGGAGGGAAGAAGATAAGTAGAAGTCTGAAGTGTGAAGCAGTGGGAGATAGTGGGGTTATAGGAGGCTGAAGGAAAGTAATGGAGGAGTGAAAACAGAGGATGGATTTGTATTTGTGTGAGAATAAAACAGCCTAACCGAACACGAATGTTCAACCTTGACCTCTTTGTTTTCGCAATCCAGTGTTCATTGATTTTGTTGTGCAGTCAGCTGTGGACATAACAAGAAATTCACAGTGTTGAGTCAGTGTTTTGTTGTGTTTTCTCTCCAAATCTCAACTTTACTCCCCTGACTTTGAGGGAGAAACGAGGTGCGTGAGCAAGAGGGTGTCATCCATGGAGGCGTACAGTAGCTGACATGGACAGGATTTTTAAAAAAGACCCGTTGTCCTCTTTGTCTCACTTTTTCTATCCCTCAATATCACTGCATCTCTCTCTCTCTCTCCCTCTCTCTCTGTGTGTTGCCTCAGCCTTTCTCTGCCTCTCTCTGTCCTCATCCTCCATTATCATTGACATCATCCTTTCCATTCCGCCGGCCCGGCCCGTCCTCAACGCATACATCCACGTACACACAGACGCTGCCTGCATCCTCCCTGCCTTTGCCTCTTTAGCAATCTCTCTCCATCTCAAGACGTGGCCACTAATGGATTGAAAGTCTTGGGGAAGAAGCACCAGTCATTTAAAGATTAATGTCAGGCCTAGTATTCTGAAGGGCAGTCAGCCCAGCCTTTGTGTGTGTGTGTGTGTGTGTGTGTGTGTGTGTCCAGAGGACGTGCGCATGTCATCTCTGCAAAGATGCCCTCTTCATTATCAGCCATTAGGCAAAGACTCAGAGAGAGAAAGAGAGGAAGCCAGAGAGGGTTAGCTGGCTGGCCCGTACGAGCACATATCACAGCTTGTCACCTTCTTCTCAATACCTACTACTAGATAGCCATTAAAACCAAGGACTCATCAATTAACTTACCTCACTCGTGCATAAATATGAATAGGCTCTTCACCGTCTTTGAAATATGCCTCTTAGCTGCAACCAAAGTCTGCTTTAACGACTGATTAAATCTCCTATTGCGCTTCAAAGCTGCACAAGGTATGTTTTGTATTAATTCATCCCGTCTCAGCAGCATCAGCAGCAGCCTGCGAGACAAATACATGAATTGGACCGGAGTCTCTCAGTTTAATTTCCAAGGAATGTATCGGCAGGGGCGGTTCTTTAGAGCCACGGCCGATCGGAGTAATGAAACCCGTGTGCAAAAAGCGCCTCTGTCATCGTATGAAACCCACCCCGTGTTAGACAAATGAGTGCGATTGGCCTGGCACGGGGGAGGCCGGGTGGAAATCTGCTTGAGCGGGAGGGGGGCCAGACGCACTCTGCCACAAGAAATGAAACATGAGCTGCGAGATTCCCCAGGTTCTCGGGCTAAATCATAAGTATTTTATGTGTAAATTGCTTTGGAATTGTTCAATTCCGCCAGCAGTGACTAAGTGCTCCCGACCACAGAGAGGTAGACAAAGTGACCCATTGTCTTCCACAGCAACCGCTAATTGGGGGGGATTCACATATTCAGTTCAGTTGTGGTTATGACTTCACCGGAGCCTCTGGGCGCGGTTACAAAACGTCTAAACAAAAAGTTAATAAACTACTTCAGCTGTTAAAACCGGAGATATGAACACGGGGATTAATGGTTCAATGTGCGCTGGAGCCTGTCGATGCAAACACCGGGGAGGACGCGGGTCTCACCAGCACAAGTTGCAAACAAGACAAACAGAGTTTCCGATTCAATTAACCCGCATCTCGGCGGGAAGAAGATATCAAGAGGAAGCCCGCGCAGACGTGAATGAACGCTTCCTACTGAATCAGTGTTTCTCACTTAACTTGTTCCCAGAAAACGAGGTTCCAGCGAAGGCGGGCAGCACCATATCACAGATGTAATATGAGACGCAATTTCTTGCCAGGGCTTGACATTTCTCACATCTCTTGCAGGAAAAGTGGAATTACAAACCGGTAGGGCGGACTGACGACTTTTAAAGTCTCATAACTGGAACATCGCATTGCAGTTTTCGGAATAACCAACACATCCATGGCGCTGAAGCCCCGGCTGCCTGCTCAGTTCGAATTCTTCTCAACGGCTAAGACAACAAGGCTCTGTTATGCTGCAAGGGCATGATGACAACAACAGTGAATGTTGCAGCCTTGTAAAACCTTGATCCATCAAATGTTTTCCACCGAATCCAACCCTGAACACGGTTTAAGATTGCTCAAAATCCTAGGTTGAAATAATAATGGTTACAGAGCTCACATCAGTGGGGTGAAATCGTATATTTACCTGATTAATACCAAAAGACAGAGCAGTGAATGAAAATTAACATTAAATGCATCTACTCTTGTGTAGCTTCACACAAGGCTGCAGCTACCAAGACCTGAACCTTATTCCTAAAGGTAGGAGTAAAATGAGAGATAATTTTTAAAGCAATTGTCCTCCAGTGTTTTTAGATAAATCGATAGCAGAGGAGCTTATTTATTGTTCTCTCAAGTAACTGATCATTCCAGTTCTTCCCGCAGTGGAAGTGGAGGGTGGACTTGCATAGAAATTTTTCTAATATCGAACAGCAAAGTAATCTGAGGGGCAGCCACTGAAAAATACACACTGGCAGCAGACAAAGAAATGATTACAGCAGTAAATACAGCGCGGAGACCGCACGTACACAAACAGAAATACACAAACAGCCAAGAATCTCGGTCTGAAGCACAAAGACGTACTTGAGCAATGCCCTTCAAAACGCACATGCGCCGCGCCAACCCCGTGTCAAACAGCAGCTTTTATTTAATTGAGCGAGCGACCCTCGAAATATCGGCGCACATCCCCGCCGCAGAGAAAGAGACACTTTTGAACATCTGTGTTCGTGTGAAGCCCGCGAAAGCAGCAGCCCGAGCTCTGCTAAATATTTAATGGGCCTGTCTGATGGTCATAATCGCTTTTAAGAACAATAGATGAAAACAAAGGGCGCCAGTGAAAAACTGCACCAGAGGTTAAAGCCACATCTCGCGGAGTGACAGGGTTAGAGGGAGGGGAGGGCGAGGAGGAGGAGAAAGAAAAAGAAAAAAAGAAAAAGGGAGAAGCACTCAGAGCCATAAAAAATACATGACAGGTGACTATCAATGTTAAGCGGGTCTGGCGTTTGACCCAGGAGCAGCATATAGGGTCCCATGACAGGCTGCACACTTAAGAGCTATATTTGGAAGCGACATACAGGAAGAAGTGTTTCTACAACCTGCAGAGTTAAGCTGTGTGACATGTGATGCAGATTCTACTCGATTGCCATTGTTGCTATATCCAGACAAGAATTTGACCTGTTTTTGAAGAACCTGAGAGCAATTAATTTTAATCGTCGGGAAAAACAACCATCAAGAATTCTGACAATCGATGAATTATTTAAGTCAACATTCGATGCCACAGAGCGGTTTAAAGACACGACCTTGGGCTGTGGGAACCGGAGACGGTTTCCTTTTTTTCACTATTTTTGTGACATTTTATAGACTCGTTGATATAAAATGTCAGTTTGCCACAAATATACAATAAAGGAGAGCGAAAGAAAAAAAGTTTGCCCTCATCTAAGGATCTCGGTGCGGAGATGGCAGGTAGTCTGACTTTATCACTCCTACATGAACCCAAAGACGTTTTGTTTGTGGTGATCAACATGCCAAAAAAAATTACATTTGAAATACGTCTGTGTGATACTTGGGATGCTCATAGAAGTCTACTGGCAGTTTGAACTGTTTTCCCTCTAAAGTACATTTTGCTATCTGTCCTCCAGAATGAGATTCACCTGCTCATGAGATGGAACCAGAAACACAGTACGGAGCCGTGCAGGTGGATCTCTTAACAGATGTATTACTTATATGTACGGTGCTGGGGTGCCTGAACATGGAAAAGACATATAGAGGTGTCAGTCAAACAACGCTCCTCATGCACTGCAAAGCAGAGGAAGCTTTCTACTGCCAGCTTCTGTGATGTCTGATGGATATATACATGTATATATAGCTCAGTAATGGAGGAAGAGTTGGTTGAACTTGCACCGATATCACCGAAGCCGCACTTCAAAGCAACTTATTAACTATTTCATAATTAATTATTAGGAATTGTGTATTTAGACTCGTAAATAATTGAGTATATTTTGCTAAACTATCATCATCAGTGTGTTGTAAGTCATTAAAAAACCATTACACGTTGTTCGTAAGCGATTCTTAGATGTGCTACCAATGTGCAAATTATTTAAAGATGCTACAGGATGGAAAGAATCCTGAAAGCAAGAGGAATTATTTTAAGTTTTTTGTGATTTCAAAGGGAAAAATATTTTAAACTTAAATAGCAGTATCGCCATTATTTATTTAATCAAGCAAATAAAAATTACTTTGAATGTATGTTGAATATTTAAAAAATATTATAAAAAATTGATTAATTTACCATTTGAATGTATGATGGAAATGGTTTTTTTTGTGGCTAATTTATTTAGCTAAGTTATTTAGCATGTATCTCTAAGTTTTATTCATTGGTGGAATATATCACCAGTATTGTGATGGACTTCCATTGTTGTGACTGGGATTTTTACACTGCATAGCTGAGGTTTATTGTTTTAAACTTCACAAAGCAAACGTGTAGAAAATTTCAAGTGCAGGCCGAAAACAGAGAAGCACCAGGGAGGCACGTCAAGGGATGGGAAGGACAATGAGGAGACGTAAATAAGCAGACAACACGGGCGATCAGCAGGAAGTGGGTTGGTGTTGAGCTGAAGGAGGTGAAAGGCAGAGAGACAGAGCCGAAGAGGCAAAGGCACGGAGAAGAAGAATGATGGACAAGGAACAAGAAGGAAAAAAAATTAACTCGTGACATGAAACAGGAGCAGGCGGCCAGATAACCACGGAGCTTTCCTTTGTGTCAATTAAAACTTGCACCTCACAAAGGTATACAGGAGGAAGAGGAGGATGTAGCTGATCGGAGGTGGCGAAGAGGTCGACTTCTCAGCTCACCCTGTCTCTCTCCTGTCTGTCTTTCTGGATGTTTTAGAGCTCACAGCTACCGGCGGGCTTCACCGAACCCCCTTTTTTAAAACACTGAAAGCCGGACGCTGTGAGCTGGCCTCTCCCGCTAACTCGCTGACATAAATGTGTTTGTGTGGCGGGCTGGTGGGGAGCTAAGGAGCAGCGACACGAGGAGAAAACATGCCGTCCGTCTCCGGGAAGATGAATCAAAGTGATGAACGGGACGAGTTTGAGAAATCGGCAGTCCTATTTGGGGTTTGTCAAAGATCTGACTGATTTATTTGGCGGGAACTGATGGCGAGGAGGGTTCTCCATTTCCATGTTTCAATTCCAGATAAAGCAGGGCAAGCTAGAGGCGATTTAAAAGGAGATTTTCTGTGGGAAAGGGAAAGAAAAGGGGGAGTGAAAGAAATCCAAAAAAAAAAAAAAAGAGAAAGGGGGAAGAAAAGTAAGACGGACAGGGGGCAAGAAGTGTGAGAAAGCAGGGAGAAAGTGCAAGGGAGGCAGATGGAGAATAAGAAGCAGACAGGTTCACCTCTCATTAACTCACCTGCCACACACCGTGCCACAAAGCAATGCACCTCCCAAGGACATGAATTAAACAGAGAGCCAACTACCTCAGAGAAAAGCAGCCCTGCCAGCACTTAGCCAGGCCTCATAAACAACCAGCTCGCATTTGTCACTTCCTCTTCACCCAACAAAGCGACAGCAGAAATAAATTACTTTTAAGTAGACCTTGTTCCTCCTCTCCCTCAGCATGCTCTTCTTGCCTCGGCAGCTGATTCGAGCTAACAGTGCAAACCGTCGGACGGCGGGAAGTCAACGGCGCGGCTCAGGCAGAGAGTTGATCCTCGTGTACGTGTTTATTTATGGTTTGTCATCAATCAATTCACAAGGAGAACAAAAGAAGCTTGGATATGAAGAAACTGACAGATGGAATTGAAGCTACAGTTTGATTAAGACTTCAGTTTGCTTCAAAAGGCAGTGAAAAGCACATTTATTGAAACATAATAGAACACCAATCACTGAGAAACCAAGAAAGAGAAGCGTATAGTCATGTAGTCCGATGCAATGTGGGGCGGCTCAGGTGGTAGAGCGAGTCGGTCGATGATCGGAAGGTCGGCGGTTCGATTCCGCCCTGTAACCTGTTTCATGGTCGTTGTGTCTTTAGGCAAGACACTTCAGCCACCTTGCCTGGTGTGAATGCGTATGAATGGATTGTTTGAGGTGGTGGTCAGAGGGGCAGAATGGCAGCCACACCTCTGTCAGTCTACCCCAGGGCAGCTGTGGCTACAATCGTGTGTGTGAATGAATAATTGACAAAGCGTCTTTGAGTGTCTAGAAAAGCGCTTTATAAATCTGATCAATTATTATTATTATTATTATTAACGTCCTGCGTTACCGACAGGTCAACAACACAACGCACGTGTTGCTACAGTTATCATTAAAAACCAACAGATTGTCTCACATTTACACAATTCCTGCAAGTTCGTCACCTTTTTGGCCAGACAAGCAAGTCTTATGTTGACCCCACATGGATGGTGAATGAGCCTCACATTGAAACCTGCACACAGCTGAATACAACATTAATGTCACATGGCAGATTCAGTCTCTTTCTGGATGTGACAAAATGGTAACAAAATGCACTACCGCTACAGAGAACGCTCTGGATTTTTCTTCTCTTAGGATGAGTCAGGGCGGTTGTGGGATTGTGGCGAGAATGGCAGCTTTCCACCACTATATCTGTAAAAAGGCAACTAAAGTCAGGTCGAGGTCTGACTCGTATCAGCGCTTATGAAAGGAGATACCCAGAATGTGAGTAATAAACAAGTACACTCCCTCCCCTGTTCCCTCAAATCCTTCAAACCCCTGAGCTGCAAAGCACGACTTGAAGCTGCTCCAAAAGCTCTCCATCACCCCCTCCCTCCTTTTTCCCATTATGTATCTATTCCTCAACAGCTGAGATACTCTCCTTTTTTTTTTGCCTCATATCCCTGGAACCTTCCTCAAAAAAAAAAAAAGATCAAGAAAAGAAGCAGGCTACTCAAATTCCTGGCATGCCATCCGTGCCATGGTTCGCGCCGCCATCCACACATCTATCATCGATCATCTTGCGCCGTGCTGGACGGGAATCACAAAACACAAAGCACCTGGATGCATCAGCCGGAGGGACCACCCAGGCCCAAAGATTTGTGTATGGAACTAATCACTAAACACCCTCACCATATTTGATGAATGTGCCCGTCTCGCCGGTGTAAGACGAGCCCCCCTCCCCGCCATGAAGAAGGTTTTCCTCCTCCTCTGCCCCGCTACACCACCATCCTCCATCGCCACTGTAGTAAATACCCCATTAGCATTCCAAGATTGGCTGGAATCCTGCTGCTAAAGGCTGCTATTGAGCTAGTCTCCGGAGAAAACATAGGTTTGTTAATCAAGTGAAGGCAAAACAATTACTAGAATCCGATAATCAATGTCCGTGGCCAAACAATAAATCCTCGGTGGCTGCTCGCGAGAAGGGAAAGTAGCAGGGAAATGGGATGCTACTAATTAAAGAAATCTACTAGTATGCTATCGTTAGTTAATAGCTACGCTGCTGCACCATTTAGCCCATCTGATTAGGCTGTTTGACATAGCCTATGTAATGGCCACTGCAAAGTCCTTTTCCCTTTTTCTTACAGGGATGCTCGCCCAATTACGACTTGACGGATACTTACAGTCCCTTTGAGGACTTTGAAGCTGCTTCTCCTTTAGTTGTCAGAGCATGTGTTGTGATAGTTCTCTACATATCATTCAAAATTACATGTGTGCAGGTAGTTGAAAGACACACAGCCACGAATCACTGCAAAAATATACCAAAATAAAGAATGCATGGTACCTATGCATGGCTTTAAAACTAAAGGTCATAAGGGTCGAAGCTAATGTGAAATAAGGATATACCCTCTCAGACTGTGCCAGACATAATCTCTCAACCGTACAGATGGAAATTTCAATTCTAGTTGTCCTCCGTGGGATCAAAAATCCGGATTCGGCATCAGGCGCTGGGTGGAGAGTCTAACAGGGTGCCGGGAATTACACAAAGAGAATCAGGTGAGATAAATCTGTCTGGATTTAGGAGAGCCGCGTGAGCTGCTAATTGCTAGAATACAGACCGGAGAGGAGTTTGGGGATGTGTGCAGCAGCAGTTGGACGTACAACATCACCGTGCATGTAAGGAATGATCGTACATTCAGCCTCAAACTACGAAGGACTTCTGTCAGTGGCAAGTCTTCAAATCATCATCATCATCGTGGAACAAGTGGAGTGACACAGTGATGGAGTCAAACTCTGAATGCAACGCTGCTGTACATTTTTTTTTAATACAGCACAAAAGGTGAGTGCAGCAGAAATAATGATCGACTGTAGAGGCAGTCGTGCTGGCATGTCTCCACTTAGCACAATGGCAACCATAACTCTGCCATGATCAATAGATGTTCATGACTGGCTTTAAAAAGGTTCCATCCTCCACCCTCTTCCTATCCATCTATTCCTGCCTCATTTCCAGTCAACTCTTCCTCCCCATCTCATCTATAATTCCACTTCTGATGCTTCCCTGCCTCATCTAGATAATATCGCCTACTCTCCCGCTCGTCCTTCTTCACCTACTTCTTTCTTGTTTTCCTTTACACTCTCGCATCTCTCTCTTTTACACTTCCTTCCATCTTTCTTACTAATTCCTCCCACTCAGTATCTTCCGCTCTCTCATTTCACTTTCTTCTCGTTCCCTTCATTCATTCACCGTCCTCCCATTCTCCTCTCCATCCCTCCGTCTTCCTCTATCATCCCTCGCACCTGTCTGTAACCCATCCTCTCCCTTATTTCATTCTTCTTTCCCCTCTCTTCGCACGCTGCCATTCTTTCCTCCATTCATCCGCCGTCATACTCCCTCAACTCCTCGCGTCCCTTTCACCTGCCCTCCGTCTTCTCCTTTCTCCCTCTATCATATCTCCCTCCAACCAGTCCTCTCCTTCCATCTGCCACCTCTCCTTCCCCCAAATGTGTCGTCTCCCCGTGCTCTCCTGCAATCTGCAGTTCACAGGTTTCCCAGGGCACATTGTTGCATCCCAACGGAAGCTTGCACAGCATTCTCCCATAAATAATTGAAGAGGCCCCACATGGCCAGGCACGCTCAGTCTAAATGGATTATTCTGGGAGAGATCAATGCCGGCCTGTGAGGGTTTTATTAGGGCCTGCAGATGAAATGTACAAGGCCACCGCCAATGCTCTCCTCTCTCTGTCTTAATTCCGTCTTGCCGTGTGTGACATCCTCTCCGTCTCCGTCTTCTCCTCGCCTCCACCTTCGGCGATCCGCCCACGCCGGGTGACGACCCCGCCGCCCCTCAGGAGAACCACGCATGGCGCCTTGCACTACTGTTCTGAATCAAACATAAATGACTAAGGCAGTATATGAATCATTCATTCTTTAAGATCCCTTTGACTATGATGCAGACTGGTAGTAAGCAGGCGAGACAGTGTTTTGTTATTCCTGCTGTTGTCACAATGCATCAGCCTCACTGACCCCGACCACCATCAGCCTCCACTCCGCACCACTCACCAGCTTGGCGGGAAACATCCGGCGATACCCACTGGAGTTGTCATGGGCAAAAAAAAAAAAAGGGGGGGAGGTGAAATGCTACCGTGACCTTCAGGAGTTACGACCCCTGGGAGCGGATGGTGGCTGTAATGGCGAATAACTCTCTGCAAAATTGTCTCCCTACGGAGATTTACATCTGTCTCATCCAGTGAGAGGCTTCCTAATTGTCTGCTTTCCGGAAAGCATCCCGCCAAGCTGGTAAGCATCAGCAGCTTGCTACTGTTCTTGGTTCTAATGGTAGAGAGAGAGGAATATGGCATGCTGTCCCTTCATACTTGACCGGTGTTAGTGGTCTTGGTTTTTCCATCCTGGAAAATCTCCTTCCTGCACCATCTATCCAAAGTCTACATTTTTCGTACTATTCCTGCAAAAAGCTTTGAGGTGCATTTACATGCAGAGAAGCAGCCGAGAGCAACAGTGATACCAAGCCGTTTTCTTTTCCTTTTAAAGCCTTTTGCTGATATCCTTTAATCTTTGGGTATCAAAACAACACCTGTATGCACATAAAAAATGTCCCGTCACTTAAACCCGTTCAAGTCCGGTTATTGTAAACCAGGCAGCTGCGCCATAAAATGAACTAATCTTTCATATTGACAGTTTTTTATGAGTTTGATACGTATCATGTGAGTCTGTGTTTAGATAAATACTGCATTCAGTGAAGAGCATCCACTTTAAAACCCTCTTGCACCCAGTTTCTGCAGTTTGCATCAAAATGCAATGAGTTGGTCAAATTTGAACACAGAGACATGTTCTGGGGAGTCTCTGATATCCATCATGAGAACTACAGGACTTGCCTGAGAGTCATCAGGCTTTTAAGTTCTTAAAAAAAGTAATCCACAAGCAATTGTCATTCATGAGTCCACTGCAAACAGAACTGAGCTGCTAATGGCTAATTAGGGATATTTTTAAAGGTCTACATTTGCCAAAATGTAAACAAATAGAGGCTAAGAATACAGGTCACAGTTTACTAAAGGACTTAACAGAACCACTATAGGTTACATCCTCCAAAATATGTTTAAAAACTTAAACCCTCCCGAAGTGTAGCTGCTGTGCCAACTTTGAGCTCGCCACCTCCTTTGCAGAGACTTGAGGAAACTCGTGCAAAAACATGTATATCGGAACAAGCAGAATGAGCCTCCTACAGCTTTCCAAATAAACATTTTTTGACATGAGTCATTTCAAATGCGTCTCTCTGAGTATCTGAAAGGAAACACAGAAAGTACAGTACCTGCCTGGAACAGCCAAATATTCATAAGGGATCAACAGCTGGGCTCAATGTTCTGGGTTGAAGTAAACCAAAAACGATCCTTCAACAAACATAATGGATTCATATTTGAAGAAATGTCTTTCAGTTAACCAGACTGTACTGATATCAAGAGGGATTATGTTTTCCATTTGAGATTTGCATTTTTATTTTTGTTTTCATCTGGAAAATGCTTTACCCAAAAATAAAGTTTAAAAGAAAGCAAATATTGCACAGATTGCAGTTTGTCCCAATTTCCCGTCAACCACTGTGTCCCCTCTGACTGTGTACTTTCTACGACACCTGAACACATCGTTTGTTGGCACAATCTCAGGTGCTCTAAGCACACACATTACCACTGCAATTATCCTTGAGTAAAGAGCCTTTGAACACTTAACATGCTGCTTTAACCTGAACTAGGACTCCCTGTGATTATGATGTGTTCTTCTCAAAAGTGAAATTGAACCACGACAAGGTTACATTTTTCCCTCCACAACACACGCTTTTGTGATTGCTGTGAAAACAACATAATCAAACCTTCCAAGCAGAAAATAAAGGGGTTCAGGACACTTCCTGCTGCCACTTATACCCTTGCACATTGTTTTCGATTGTGATTATGAACGGCAGACGACATTAGACCGGGAAGGGGAGGGACCAGAGGCTTTTAACCCTCCTCCTTCTTCAAAAGCAATTCCCTTCCTTCCTGGAAACGGAGGAGAAACGTTGCATAATTCCATGATCGCCCGTCTTCGTCCTTCCTGACATGTTGGCATGCAGCAGGAAAACATGTACATATCAAAGCCATTAAAGTGTCAGACTCGGTGGGCTCAAACCAGGTCAGATTGTACAGAGAGGACTTGTGAATAGTGCATTTTGCCCCCATTCTGACAGTCAAGACTTCCTCTAAAGAGCTTATATCGGAGCCGTTTAAAATGACAAACCAGTATTCAAAAGACGCAAGGACAATTTCTTTCTTTGCCGATAGAATATTCCAGAACTAATTTGCATGTGGATTTGAGGACCATATGCTTCCTGACAAGATTTACTGTACAATATGGCGCAATTGGACATACGGCTGAGAAGAAAGAAAAAAAAATGCGTTGTCATATTATACTATCCCTCTTTTGCTTTTCTTTTATAACTAACTTGGTTCAAATTACCCCTGGACTACCAGCTACTGGTGTTTTGGTTAAAGATGTCAATCTTTTGCTGTTTTTTATTCACCCTGACCATTTACATGTATTGAAAACAAATTACTCTGCTGTATTTGCATGTGGCTCAAGGGGTGGAGGTGAGAGTGTGTGTGTGTGTGTGGGGGGGGGATACTCTGGAATTGACATTTTGCTGCTTAGAATTTCAAATTCGGCCACAGGCGAAGGGAAAAAAATGCAAAGAAGAAAAAAAAAAAAACAACAAAAACAGCAGCCCAGTGTTTATCTGGAGGTGACAACTAACAAGCGCTCTCCTGGTAATTAGACTGCCACAGTGCACATGAGCGAAACTCTCCATAAAGTGCGCTTATGATTAAATATTTTTCTTCTCGCTCGTTCTCTCTTTTTCCGGCTCCTCTTGCTTTGCTCTGTTTGTGTTCCCTTAAACAGCTCCGCCAGCCATCCGCATCCATTTCCATTTTGACTGCATTAATGACATGGCCAAACACTTAAGCTCGGAGGCCTGTAATGAGACTGCAGAATGTGACTTATGGCTCGTCTTGGAAATGCGATGAACGTATACGGTGTGTTGGCGGAATCAGGTGCACATCTGTCACTGTTTGCGTGTGCGCGGTGACCATTTTTAACAACAGTGGTCTCTCTCTGGCGTGCCTGACTGCCCAGCTGGTGACAGGTAAGCGTGATTAAAGTAGATTTCTGCAGGAACAAACGAGGGACGGTTGAACATGCCATCCAGTCGCCCATCTCATGCATACAGAGAGGCTGCTTGATTGATGTCGAGGTAAGAAGTTTTGAAAAAAAAAAAACCTGCACATCTCCACCACCTAACTAAAATGTGACCTGTGCCGCTTCTAAAAAAATCTCAATGATGACTGGTTTGTGATTTCAGTCTTTGGATGTTTCTCTGTGAATGCAGTGTGGAGGAGAAAAAAAAAGGATTTCACCTTGCACCCTCAGCTACCTGAGCTAGCAAGATCCTTAACTTAAAGGATCAAGACCCCTTTGAAGAACCTTTTCATCAGAAAGGCAGCTTGAGCCCGACAGTAGTTCAGACTCAAGTTACCTTTTTGATGAATCACATGGCTGCTCTTCGCGAAATCCTTTATTTTAACTCGCCAAGAATAAAGTCCTCGCTGAATCTTCAAAGACCACGACGGCGTACCGCCACGCTTTAGAGTGTGTGGTCCCTATGCGTGTCCAACGTGGGTATTTGATTGCTCCGCGAACAAACACTGGCAGCGGAGACGCTTCATAAAATGTGTCCAGCCCATTAAGTACGAAGGAGGGGACTCCGGTAATGGCTGGCCTTCCACGGGCAAAGACAGCAGACAATGAATGACTATCTCCTGTCACAGTGATCATTGGGTGGGACCACATCTTAATAACAAGAGGAGGGACTGAAACATGCAGACGCATCCACGCCGGAGTGGGGATCAGAATTATAATTAAAACTGAAATATGAACATCTTACAAATCGTAGGCTTCAATCCCATGGGTGCTGTCGCGCATAAGA